AGGAAGATTTGAACATGAGCCGTTCGGTTGAGTGCTTTATTTTAATAGGAAGATTTCAACAGGAGTCGTTCGGTAGAGTGATTTATTTTAATAGGAAGATTTGAACACGAACCGTTCGGTTGAATGCTTTATTTTAATAGGAAGATTTCAACAGGCGTCGTTCGGTTGAGTGCTTTATTTTAATAGGAAGATTTTCACACGAGCCTTTCGCACTGATATAATGAATATAAAAGACTTATACTTTACGCATTACTATAATAAATAAATCATACCTAGTGATTGTGTGAGGATTATGCAATTTTTAATGTTCTTTTCTTTAGCACAATGTTGAAAAGCTTAATTTAAAGTGATTACATCTACAAAACATCATCACACCAATGGCACTTAATCATCACAGCTAGAAAACATCATCGCATTAATTGAAGATAGTCAAATACATTGCTATTCCAGTTTTCATTCACAATCTAACTTCAACATCAGCTACTGCATCCTATCAAAATGAAAAACCATGGTACATTATGGATTTGTCATCCATATTGAAATTACAATAATATTAAGCACAGAAATAAAACAAACCACCCCTATCAACAACTTTATCCATTTTTCCACAACCTCAAATGATTTTTGCAAATCAATCATGATATTCGTTACACCTCCGATTTCTTCTGTCTTTGACAAACACTCATGCTTTTTTCCCCCTTCATATTCGTATAGCTTTTTCCAATACCATCATCACAACACCATTTAAAGAAATTGCAACCACCATTTCCATGTCCGTTTTGTAAAAAAAAAAACCTAATTACATCCATGTTCTAGTACACAAACAACTACTCATCCATGTTCTTTTACCTTGTACTTAGGGCACCCCCAAAATTGTTTCCCTTTGTTCTTAGCCGTTCGAGTTGTTCTGATGATTGTTTTCTCTCCACACAAGCAAAGGGTGACACACCATGGAAAACGACATTAGGGTTTACATTCTGCCAGCCATTGCATGTCGAAGAAGAACAAGAATGTGAATTCTGCATTTCATTATCCATCGTGCTTCCAATCGAAGAAGATCGTACTTTTGTTTTCTCCCACGAATCTTAAACCTCAACTTCTCCCAATTTCATTTCGATTTTGCAGTTGTAGAGAGAATGAGGCTTTCAGCACTTAATTTTATTTTATTTCCCAACTTTGCCCATACTTAAAAACGTATTTCCACTCTGTATATTTTATTTTTTAATTCAAAAATTAAAAAAATACAATTCAGTCACGTTTTTAATGCCACGTAATAAAAAATTACATTGACAACATATTCTCCTTAATTACGTGTGATCAATTTGACGAAAAACCTTTATTTAATTCAATTTTACAGTAATAAGACGTGAAAAGAAAAAAACCAATATAAAATTCTGAACTAAAATAATGACACATTAAACCTAATTTAGATTCCACAAAAAACAACAGGATCCGCGAATTATTAAACCAAGAGAAATAAAAGAATAAATAGTTGTTTAGGGAAGTAAATAAATGGAAGGTACAAACATTTTTCTGTTTTAATGATAACTTGTTATCGTTTGGATAGATATTTGAAAGAAGTGGTGGCAGAGAAGAATAAAGAAGGATTGATTTGGTTAGTGTGAATGTGATGTAGAAGAGAAATAATAAAGAAATATTGATGGCGAGCTTAAGCTCCCTGTGTGTTCAGTGGAGAATTCATGGGCATGGGCATGGGCATGGGCATGGGCATGGGCATGGCCCCCGAGGTTCAGAACTCCGCAAAGCCATCTCCACGCTTGACCTGACGCTACAGCCGGAGGAGGTTGGTAGCCGTCAGAAACTTATAAACTCCTCCCTTCTCCTCAAAGCCTGCATCAGGTCTGGTAACTTGGAGCTTGGTAAACTCCTTCACCACAAGTTGATTCACTCTCGACTCCCCCTCGACTCTCTTCTTCTCAACTCTCTAATTAGCCTCTACTCTAAATGCGGGGACTGGCAAAGCGCGCTTTCAATATTCCAAGGCATGGGCGATAACAGAGACTTGGTCTCCTGGAGTTCTCTCATCTCCTGTTTTTCAAATAACTCCATGCACTCCCAAGCCCTTCTTACCTTTCTTCACATGCTCCAATTCGGGATTTTTCCCAACGAATATTGCTTTACCGCCTCAATTCGATCTTCTTCTAATGCTCGATATTTTTCTATTGGCCTTGTAATCTTTGGCTTTTTATTCAAGACCGGATACTTTGATTCTCATGTCTGTGTTGGTTGTGCCTTAATTGATATGTTTGCCAAAGGCAGTGCTGATATCCACTCAGCACGCATGGTGTTTGACAAAATGCGGGACAAAAACCTTGTCACTTGGACTTTGATGATTACTAGATATGCTCAACATGGTTTTCTTAGCGATGCAATTGATTTATTCTGCAGTCTGTTGGTAAGTGAGCACACACCTGATAGGTTTACTCTAACCAGTCTCTTATCGGCCTGCGTGGAGATGGGATTCTTCTCACTTGGTAAGCAATTGCATTCTTGGGTTATCCGGTCTGAACTGGCTTCAGATGTCTGTGTGGGTTGTACTCTGGTGGACATGTATGCAAAATGTGCAGCAGATGGATCAGTAGAAAATTCTAGGAAAGTATTTGATAGCATGCCTCTTCATAATGTTATGTCTTGGACTGCTCTCATCTCTGGATATGTACAGGGCAGAAAAGAGCAGGAAGCCATGGAGCTGTTTTGTAACATGCTTCATGGTCATGTTGCACCAAATTGCTTCACATTCTCCAGCGTCCTCAAAGCTTGTGCAAATCTTCCTGATTTTAGCTTCGGCAAACAACTGCATGGTCAGACAATTAAACTGGGCCTTTCCGCAATTAATTGTGTGGGGAATTCTCTTGTTAACATGTATGCAAGGTCTGGAAGTACGGATTGTGCTCGAAAAGCTTTCAATATCTTATTTGAAAAGAATTTATTTTCGTGCAGTACAGCTATTGATGCACATGCAAAAGCATTGGATTCTGATGAGTCTTTTAACCATGATATTGAGAACGTTGCTGTTGGAGCTGGTTCTTTTACATATGCATGCCTCTTAAGTGGCGCAGCCTGTTTAGGTACAATCGGTAGGGGTGAACAAATTCATGCCCTCATAGTGAAGTCAGGGTTCGGAACCGATTTATGCATTAATAACGCTTTAATCTCTATGTATTCCAAGTGCGGAATCAAAGAAGCTGCTTTGCAGGTCTTTGATGACATGGGGCATCGCAATGTAATAACTTGGACCTCTATTATAAGTGCTTTGGCAAAACATGGATTTGCTACAAAAGCTTTAGAATTGTTCTATGAAATGCTTGAAATAGGTGTAAAGCCTAATGAGGTCACTTATATTGCGGTTTTATCAGCCTGTAGTCACGTTGGTTTGATTGATGAGGCTTGGAAACACTTCAATTCTATGCATTATAATTATGGTATCAGTCCAAGGATGGAACATTATGCATGTATGGTTGATTTGCTTGGTCGATCTGGATTGCTTGTAGAAGCTATTGAATTTATTACTTCAATGCCTTTTGATGCTGATGCATTGGTATGGCGTACGTTTCTTGGTTCTTGTCGGGTTCATCGTAATACCAAACTTGGAGAGCATGCTGCAAAAATTATTCTTGAGCGGGAACCTCATGATCCAGCTACCTATATATTATTGTCAAACTTGTATGCGTCAGAAGGGAGGTGGGATGATGTAGCAGCAATAAGAAAATGCATGAAACAGAAAAAATTGATAAAAGAAACAGGTTATAGCTGGATTGAAATCGACAACCAGATACACAAATTCCACGTAGGGGATACTTCACACCCCCAGGCTAAAATGATATATGATGAACTTGATGAATTGGCTTTAAAAATAAAGAACTTGGGTTATATCCCAAATACAGATTTTGTTCTTCACGATGTGGAGGATGAACAGAAGGATCACTATCTGTTTCAACACAGTGAAAAAATTGCTGTGGCATTTGCTCTTATAAGTACCCCGAAACCAAAACCTATTAGAATATTTAAAAATCTTCGAGTTTGTGGAGACTGCCATACGGCAATGAAGTATATATCAATAGTTACTGGAAGAGAGATAGTAGTCAGAGATGCATACCGGTTTCATCATGTCAAGAATGGGATATGCTCTTGCAATGACTATTGGTAAATGATTCTATATGCATTCGATATTGGTTAAACTTGGAAATTTGAAGTACAAGGAAACTTGAAACCACAAGCCAATTGCTATTTTTAGAGGCATCTGTTTATCCATCTTTATTCTTTTCATGATAAGGCTAGATGCAGCGTGTACGATATACCATTTTCTTGTTTACCGTGGAGGTTATTCCCTCCACATATTATTCTAAAGTAGCCATATCCTCTTCTCTTTTTTTCTTTTCTTTACTTCTCAAAATGCCATGTCATCATCCCCCCTCCCACATTATTGATCTAAAGGCCATCATGGATATGATTCAAAGTTGTAGGTTGAGAAATCGAGCTACTTGACTAATCTAATTGCAAGGCAAAACCGTAAACGCATGTTGATGACTACTTATGCTACTATTGTGTTCTAACAACTTTGAACATCTTCCTTCCTTTTTAGCAGAGTTTTTTTTTTTAATGAAAATGATATAATTTTATACCAATTTTATCAAAATAGGTAGATTATAACAAAATTACCACTTTTTGGTAAGTAGTATTTGGCAGGTATGACTTTTTGTACACAAGTGGTATTCGATGCTCATGATTTCTTACTAAATACAAAGCAGTCGCGCACACAAGACAAATTTGAATTTCAAAATATGATACTATCAAGTTGTCTTCGTAGAAGATGACATTCAATTTTTCTAGAAATAAGTAATTCAAGAGATGGTGAGTTTAACTCAAAACCAGAACATTGAAGTTGTATGTCAGGAGGACGAGTTTCACTTTTCTTTTTTTCAAATTCGAAGTGATAGTGTGCATGACTATAGCTCAAAACCGTTCCATATTGAAATCGTGTGCAGAAAACGAGTTTCAATTTCTTTTAAATTAGAATTTGTGCCTTGTTTGCATGCCTTTTGCTCACTGTAAGTGAGTGTTGCAATTCTCTCCCCCTAATCTCACTATAGATGTTTCTTCATTCTCATTCCCCTTTTCAATTTTTCCTTACCTCATTTTCCTACTTCAAATTCGATTTTCAATTCATCATTACCGCATTCCCTTTTTCACTCCATCATATTCAGTAATGGGACGCAAAGGCCACATGTCGCCGCTCGTTCTAGACGAGGGAGGTATTGTCGAAGTTGTCGGATTTGATGGCCAGACGTCGCTCAGGGTCCACGCAGAAAACAACGTAGGGCTTCAGATCATTGTTCTTCCAGCTGCAGACAGACATTCCTTTGCAGTTTAAAAATCCAAAGCCAAAGAATCGCAGAAAGAGATGTCGTTAGATACTAGTCACTGGTTTCCAATGGTTTAATATAGTCAATGCTGCAATTGCACTTGGAGTGTAGTCCACATAAGATCTCGAAGTTTGTTGTGGAAGGTTGTGCTTTGTTCTCTCTGAAGGCAATAGAAGCTTGACAAACTTTTGTGCTGCAATTATTTGTTCTTCTCGACAACCACTATCATGTATTAAACCACTGTAATATGTAACAAAAAAACATGTCAACTATTCCAACAAAAAAACATGTCAACTATTCCAACAAAAAAACATCCCTCAGATAATAAATTCTCAACTTGAAACATTTAAACTCTTATTTATTTTTTCCTAATTGAAAGTAATTGACATTCATTCTTACTTGAGCAACAAGGCTAAGTTTGCCGGTTTGCAAGATTGAAAGAGTGCTTCAGGAATAATGGCCTTGTCCAAAAAAATATTGGGAAGTGACATGTACTGTATCTTAGCATTGTACCGAACGTACCATTCTGTCAATATATGGGCACGATATGCAACAACACAGGGTAATCGTGCAAGCTGCAGCTCCACAGCAACGGTTCCAGATGTGCATAAAGCAACTCTACTTGCCTACGACGTAGTTTATTTAAATTAGCTATGAAATACATAGGGGACTAGGAAACAAAACGAAATGGCCAAACTCAAGCAATTTGGACATAATCACTGGCGAACATTTTGGAAAATCAACAGTTATAATGTCATTGCAAGTTTATATTCAGAACTCAAGCAAGAATCTCTAAGCATTCTATAATGGAGGACTTGTGGGACAAGGGGGCTTACACTAAAAGCATCATATCTTAGTTGTGTTGTTCCACCTGAAATCAATATAACTGGCACAGGCCATCCATGAATAGCACCAGCTATAAAATTTTCCACATGCTCATTAGGTGCTACATGAATGACTGTCATCAAGTGTGGAACTGTGTCTTTCATCAGTTCCACAGTATCTGAAAAGATGGGAAGCATCCGACTGACTTCTTGTACTCTGCTTCCAGGAAGTAAGCTAATCACAGTGGCTCCTTTTGAAGTTAAAATTAATGTGAGAATAAAGCAAATATGACTTCAAAGTTAGACAAAATAGCACAAAAAATATCCAAAAGATGGTGTTCATATGACTTTTCTTTTTAAGCTATAACTTCTGCTCCAATGTCAAGAATTTGGGGCATTATGCTAAAGGAAATATCCACAGAGCAAGAAAGAAAAATCATTAAACTAACGGAATGTTAAACATCTGCTCATACAACAGTACCAAAAAGTCAGAAACTTAGGGTTTAGTTAAATATGTGAAGTTCTTGAATTTCATTTTGTTAGAAGTACCTGCTGGCACTGCATACTTATTTCGGAAATCTTCAGCATTGCCTTTTGCCCTCCATTCATGAATCGTGGACTTGTTTCTCTGGAAATATAAGCTATGCAAAATTAAGGGAAAGCAAATCGAGAAATTTGGATTACGTCATATATAATAAGGATGAAGAAGGACAACTTTTGTTACACATCAAGATATCAAAGAGAGACGCGAGAACTACTTTAATAAGTTTTTCATGGGTAAGGATCAGGATGAGATATGGAAGAATAGAAATCCAAAGGTCAAACAAAATTTTGCCTCTTATTGTATAAGAGGTAAGAATAAAAAATAACATAATAATCCATAAAATCTCTAATGCATACAAGCATCACAACACCGCTAAGAATTGTCAAATGTCCCAAGCTCATACCAAATTCAATTCCAGAACATCTTCCAAGACCGGATGCCCAACAGCTGTTGCGTGCAATCCATTCAATCTACATATTCTATCTTCATTTGGAAGTATGCACAATAGATGATCCACAAATTCTGCTAGTCCTCTAAGTCTTGCTTCACCTCCTTTCCATGCCCAGAATGATGGTGCTACATAGTGAAAGTGTGATGGAAAATCCATATTTTTCTGAATGTATCTAGCTGCAAAAGACATTCCCCATTTTCATACAACATAATTCTAAAACCAAAAAGATGCAGAAGATATTCCAGCAAGGAGAGTGCATCAGTAGTACCTCTAAGTTGTTTCAAGAACCGAAAAGAAAAGCCCTTAGAATCAACCGTTAATACAACATGAGGTTCAAATAGAACAGCTGCTTCAACTGTTTCCTTCAGTTTTAGCTGAAAATTAACAACACCACATGGATTTCACATGTGTAACAGGTAAAATTTCATATACAGATGCTTCAAATGTAATTCAGAAATGTGGCAAAAGTTATCAGATAGATATCCCTAGAATAATAAAAGTTGAAAATGAATCAAGGAATAACAAACATTTCCATCATAGCTATAAGTTGTTTAGCACCCATGTTGAAAATGATATAAGAAAGAAACTTAATGAACACTTTGAATGCTCCTATCTGTGTTTAACACTACTTTGGTTTTCTAAACTTTTATTAATATATAAATATAAATGGAAATGTCTCATCAAGTTAATTGCCGTTGCATTTCACTATTTCCACAAATGATTCATACTTGGTTAAAATAAACCAATTATCTTTTCTGATTTAACATATGTGACCATGTTGATTTGAAGCTGATTTTATATGTTACAATAGTATTGTAGCAGTGTTGTGTCCTATTTGCAATCGCGCGAGTAACCTCTTTTTCAGGTAGCAACCAGGTACCCTGTTCTTCAACCAAAGACTTTAGCTGTAACATATTGAACAAATTCTAAAAATTTTGGTGGAAAACAAAAGGAAAACCCAGCTTCTGTTCCAGTCTAGAAATCACACTAATTACTAACATCTTATAAACAAAGCACTTACTCTGATTCTATACAGATGAGGCAAAAGCTCCCAAAGCCCCATTACCGAAATATCTTCCATAGAAAATAGAGACTTCAACCCTTCACTTGCCATCTTAGCCCTGAAATTGATAAAACATTAAATTTATACCTAGGAAGCAAATTTCCTCAGAGATGTGTTCTTTACTAAAATAAACTTATAGTCTCTCATCTCTTCTATTTTATCACTTTGGTATCCTATTTTAACTTTTTTTTAACCAGAGTGTCACGAACCCAAAAATTCTTGGTCGAAAATCAATTACTAATCTCTCAAAGGACCATAAGATCATTTAAAAATACAAACCTCTCTAAATAGATATTTTTCAATACATACATTTTTGAAAATTGAACCTCTCATCACACACTTAAAAGCACAAGATTATAGAACAATCATATCACATAATGTTGGTTTACTATCGGGTCTCCAAACTAATCATTTTTCTAGGGTACATTTGTAACATTAATATTAATCTTGACTGGCACAACAAGCATTGGTGCAAATGGTGTGACGTCACATGTCACCAAATTTACCATTATAAAATGATGAAATAATTATCTTGCGACCACAACATCAATGTAAAATTTTTCAAACTTAACAAAGCATGTCCAAACCCACAAAATAAACCGAGACTTCGAGTGTATTTCAGCGTATACTTGTGATAGAATGAAAAAAGAAGTTGACATGCCCACCAACACCAGCAAAGCGAAGAGGGAAAGGTGAGAAAAGTCGAAGCGAAGCCATTAGGCGAGAAGCGATGGAATCTCCAGAAACTTCACCGGCAACAAGAAAAACCCTCAGTTCTCCATCTCTGGCAGCCATGTCTATTGGAGCTTTGGAAGAAGAAAATGAGAACCACTGCACACTCACGATCATTGGATTAGGGTTTCGATTCCATTTCCTTCTGATCAAAGCTTTTGCTCCCAACGAAATCGCAGGAATCCAATTAGAGAGCATGATGCGCTGCGCAGGTTAGCTTGCCTTGAAGCGCCAGTCAAACTGTCGTTTGATGACGGCACCGCAGCGTGTACGGATACGGGTATTGGTGGAGTTCTTACATTTATAATCGATACATAAAAATTTTAATAAATTATTTTTAAGGATAGTTATTTATTGGATTAAATATATTTTTGGTGTTAAATGTAAAATTGGAATTTTATTTGACACCTAACCTTATAAGCAACAAGTTCCTTAACATGTACTGTGTACATGACAAAAATTAATTTTATAAATTAAATTAAAATTTTCAAAAAATGTGCACCGGTTGTTATCATATATTTTCATTTTATTTTTCTTTCACTTTCCTCTCTATTTATCATAGCAACCACCATTTTCATCTTCTTCACATATCAACCTCCTTTGCTTCATCGTCCTCGTCATTCTCCAATTCCACTTTCTCTGGAGAAAGAAAGATTGAACATAGAGCTATTTTATCCAAATATTCTACTTATTAAATTCATTAAATAGATATATCTTTTAATATGTCTCTAATTAATATATTTTTCATTTAAATCATATAATACACTAAAATTGATCTGTCTTTTAATAATATGTGTCTAATTAATATATTTTTTATTTAAACAATATAACACACTGAAATTGATACTTATTTTTTTATACATAAATATCATATTTCCTTACTTTTTTGAGTGTTAAATTTTCTTTATAAGTAGATCTTTTCTAACTTTTCAATGCTTAGAAATATACGTATGGATTCCTCAATCCAATCATCTCTTGCCACGTATCTAAAGGTTACATTCCAAATTTCGATAAGAACACATGTGAATAGTAAAAGTCAAAATAAACTTTATAAAAGATATTAATTATTACATATCACGATCAAATTCTTCAATACAATCATCTCAGTCACAAATCCTCCTACTTGAACTGTGTTACGTAAAATTAAAAAAAAGTGTTACGGCCTCGGTTAAAAAAATTAGAGGCATAATCTTATCACTTTTATCTCAGTTCATAACTGAGGCATAAAACCTATCCCTTTTTATCTCGTCTGTTTATGTCTCGATTGATGAACCGGTGCCTATAACCAATTATAACCAGTGCTATTTCCTCTTCCTGCACTAGTGTCTTTTATGGAGTTTCATATTGCTTAGGGTTAGGGTTGCTTACAAGATCAGGATTACATAAAGTCCTATTCATCTAAATCTTCTTCAAACACGTAGGCAAAAAACGTGCATTTGATCAATTCTTAATAAAGCTTGTGATATCCTTTATCACAACTACCTTCTTCTTGCATAGAGGGAGAATATAGTCTCAACACAAATTACTGAAGAAGTTTATCTCATTAATATTGAGGAGTACAAAAATCATTTGCATGACATATTTTGTTAACAAAAGGGGATAAATCTCTCACGCATTTAGATCTTTCTAAGAAGCTCGATGTAGTCTAAAAACATTTGGGTCAATGGAAAATAGTTCCTCTTAACAAAGAGTTTTATGAATTTTCTTTTTTTATTCTTCAAAATATGAGAAGAGTTTGAGTTTGTCATGAAATCCTTCGTGATTTTGCTTGGACTAAAGATTTTGTTCTAATTTCTGCGAAGCTCAAAAATTTTGGGTTCACATACATGGTCTTCCTTTGGAATATTGGCAATCAAAGAGATTTTCTCAATTGAGTGTGGTATTGGCACACACTTATCTTTAGATGATTACACTAAGAATAAGTCTTGAGGTTTCTTTACGCGTCTTTGTTGATATTGATTTGTTATATGATTTCCTTAATCAAATTTTGGTGGAAAGGTCAGGATTTGCATTTATTATTGATGTGGAGTATGAGAAATTGTCTCTTTTATGTTCAAATTGTAAAACGACTGGTCTTGATCTATCTAATTGTATATGGTTACAATAAGATTTCAACGTAATTTCTAGTGGGAAGAAAACAGTTGAAATACAACAATTTTATCGTCCTAAGGTGGTTGGTGCCCAAGATGGGAATAAGGACTCTTTAGGTTTGGTTTTAAAGCCTGTGGAGGTTGTTGTGGAGCCTATTTTAGAGCCTGCTGTGGAGCCTGTTTTAGAGCCTATATTGTGGAAAGTCTATAGTTGGAGCCCATGGTGGAGTCTATAATGGAGTATGTGGTTGAGTCAAGCTTGTAGTGGAACCTGTAGGAGAGCTTGTGCTATATATTATTGCTCAATCAAAGTTTGAGACAAATCATGATAATATTTGTGTTGTGAATTAATATTCTATTGTTAAGAATATAGGTGTTTCTAGTGGTGGTGTGTGTTAACGGATTTTGATTCCTTGGCTGATATATCTTTCTTGGAGGATATTACTCAAACCATCGATAATTTGCAAGGTTTACAACTTTTAGATTGACCTCGTTGTAGCCATAAGGTAGTTCCTAATTTTTTGACATCTAAGGAAATTTGTTTTATGGAGAAATTCAAAATAACCTTTAAATGAACTAATATGCTTGATGAGGGGGAAAGTTCTAATTCTAAGGAGGAGGATGATCCAATTCAAACTACAAGGAAGCCTCGTCGGGGTACACCAAAGAAAGTTAATACTAAATCTTCCAAAGTAAAGATTTCTAAAAAGCTATAAGTTTTAAAGGTCTTTTGTGGATTGTGAACAAGTTTAATATGCTATGGAATTTTATCATTGACCTTTAATTTTCTACTAGTATTGCATTGATTTACTTTTTTCATCTATGTATTTACTCTTTTTTTTCATCATTGATATTTTTTCCTAAGTGCGATGTATTTTTATCATAGATTTGGTGTGATCTTTCATGTTTTTATGTTCTTTTTCATTTTTTTTAATAAAATGTTCATGTTATAATAATGATGTCTAAGAGCTTATAGAGAAAAACAAAAACATGAAATAGATTTATGTATAAACAAATTTAATATTTAAATGAGGATGGCCTCCTTTCACTTATTCACCTACATTTAGTTTAAAGGAGGTAAGAAAAAAAATACAAGGCACCTTAATTTATTTAAATTCTATATAAAAATGTTTATAATTTATTTTAATTTCACTAAGAAATCAAAAATAAATTAAAAATGTGTTTGGTAAGATGTAAACAAAGGTATGTTCACTTTATTCTCTGTCGTGAACGAGGATTGCTCGCTAGCTATGTTAAATTAGAGCAAGAATCCTTCTCATAACGAAAGAACTAAGCATTTGGAGATTGACCTTCATTATATTAGAGAAAAAGTTGATAAAGGAACCATAAGGTCATTCGTGAAGCATCATTAACTACTAATATTTTTACCAACTTCTTGCCTCATTATATAGTTTTTTTAGTGTCATTTCCAATATGGTAATTCAAAATATTTTTCTCCCATCTTGAGGGGGACTTTGTTGTTGTTGTTTAGTTGTCTGGTTAAGCTTCTTTTTAGTTTAGTTTCTTTATATTTTTCCTTTTTTCTGTTTAACTTTTTTCTCTTTGTTTTTTTCTCACCTTTCTTTTACATACTTTCTATGTACACGTTTCCACTCTTCCAATAATGTTCTTTTCTTTCTGACATATTATAATATGTATGATTGTTATACATAAGAATAGAGAACTATATATTTAATGTCTTCTAAAATATTAAAACTACATAAATCAACATTTTAGAAAAAACATTCTGACACTTTCCTAAACAACTTTTAGTACACATGTTCATCTTACACTCATACCACAAGAAGATATGGACAAAATTGTTGTAGAAAAGACTGACAAAATCAAGAACAATATTTCCTGAGGCGTGTAGTTTCATTGTCATTAAGGTCATATCTATGGTGTATTGCGCAAGTCCCCTAGAATACAACGGAAATTTCTCGAAAGTATTCGAGGATCTCAGAACTAGCAAGAAACTTTGTATGAGTTTATCAATCACAATACAACCCCATAATCATTATTGTTATCGTTGTGTTGTGCTTATTAGGCCATGTGCGTTCTCGGTATTCATGAGTGCTTTAGAGATCATGTCAAGATCTCATACAAGCGGCCCTACTTGACACTCATATAGGTGATTTCAGCAAGTGTATGTTGCAAATCATACACCACCCATAAGGGATATGAAAATCATTAAAACCCTTTTTAGGCTAAAATTTTTTCATTACATAGAATATTAATGACAAAGTTTAACCTCTCAATAATGCAGTCTCTATCATTTTTACACACACCATGGAAAGGACATAATTGATTAAAAATCAATTTAGTGGTATCAGAAATAACAAGTGACTTATTTTTATCTGTATGAACCTTATTCATGGGACCTCCAATCACAAAGGTTGGGTTATGATCACTTGTTTGTTTGCAAGTGGCTTAAGTTTCATTTCCCTCAATGTTTGTAATATCATTTGTCTTCCAAGAGGTTTTGTCAATGGATCTGCTAGAGTCTGTTCTGACTTCACATAATCAATGGAAATAGTTCCATTCTTTAGCAACTGCTTCATGAAATTGTGTCTCAATTGTTGTATATGTATATTCTTTCCATTGTAATTCTTGTTTTTTTAGCTATAGTTATTTTCGATTGGCAATCACAATGTATTGATACCGATGAGGTTGGTTTCATTCCTAGTGGAATGTTCACTAAGATGTTTTTCAACCACCCAGCCTCCTTATCAGCTATCTCAAGAGCAACAAACTCAAATTCCATTGTTGATCTTGCAATAATTTTTTGTTTGTCTGATCTCCATGTAATTGCACCACCCCCAAGTGTGAATACATAACCACTAGTGAATTTTGTCTCATCTGAATCAGAGATTCAGTTAACATCATTGTACCCTTCTAGTACAACGGAAAATCCACTATAGTCAATGGCATAATCCATTAAACCTCTTAAGTATCTCATAAGCCTAGCAAGTGCATCACAATGTTTCTGATTTGGACATTGAGTGTACCTACTCAGTCTACCTACTGCATAACCAATATCAGGTCTAGAAAAGCTCATCAAGTGTAATAAGCTCCCGATTATTATGGCATATTGAGGCTGAGAAATGGATTCTCCTTTGTTTTACATTAATTTAGAATTAACATCATAAGGTGTACTCATTGGTTTAAACTCATGAAACCCAA